AGGTGGCCAGCGTGAGCGTGCAGCTGGAGATGAAGGCACTGTGGGACGAGTTCAACCAGCTGGGCACCGAGATGATCGTCACCAAGGCCGGCAGGTCAGGGCGCCCCTCCCTAGCCGCGCGCCTCGGTCCGACGCACGCGAGCGGGGCCGGCAAGCGGGGTGGGGGCGCGGCCGGCTCCTTCGCTCCCGGGTCCCGGCTCCGGCGACAGCCGCCTGGCGCGCGGGCGGAGGGGCCGGCGGAGGAGCGCGGCCGCCCGGGTGCACCCTCAGCCCCAGGACGCCGGCGCCTGAAGCAGGGGCCGGCTCAGCTCGCCGGGCCCTCCCAGGGGCCTCACCAACTGGCAGATCCCAGTGGATCCCAACTTTTCAGAGGAAACTGCCTTCTTTGGTTCCCTAGTTCAGTCCATCCGGGCTAAATAGAGGCGCAGCCCGGCCATGGGGCAATGGTCTGGAACGTTGTAGGAGAGAGTTAAGACCCTTCAAAACTGTGCTGTGTTTCAGGGGAGATTGCTATCCAGTCTTCTCAGGCCTACGTCTCGGGCGATGGTGGGGCCTGGCTCTGCTGCTGGGGCCGCCGCCTTCAATTGGCCTGTGTTTGTTTTAAGGGCCCAGAGAGAAGGGGAACAAGTTTTGCGATGCAACCAATTTGACCGGCAGACAAAGGCGGGTGCCGGTCTGTGTCTAGTGTACACAGGAGACACCAGCTCTGGGTCCACACAGCCAACGGGAGCTCAGGGCCTGTTTGCAGAGCCTGCTCGTGGTTTCTCTTTCCGTGCCGCGGCGTCCGCCCTGGGAGCCTGGGGCCTGTGCCCAGCTCCAGATCAGGGGTCTTCTCCAGGCTCTCCCGCTGGCCTGGGCACTTGGCCTCCCCCCGCCACCCCATGAGGACTGTGCCCCAGCCTCCGGCCCAGTCCAGCCCAGCAAGGGCCTCGGCGGGGCCAGGCTCCCCCCAGAAGCCAGCATTCTGCAGCCCTCTTCGGCCTGCAGAGGCGAGGGCAGGCGTGGCAGGCTTGTCCAGGAGGGCTGGCATCTGTTTTCTGCCCACCGCCCGCAAGGAGTTGCCTGTGAGGGGAAGCTGCAGGACCAGCAGGTGGGGGCCTCATGCTGTCCTCCAGGGCCCAGCGGCCCACACTCAGGGCAAGGCCGGCCCATGGCCAGTGGCCAGGGTAGGAGCCGCAGAATGTCCTTTCCAGAGCCCGGGTCAGTCACCGAGTCGGAGCCCGGGGAGGGGATAGTTAGGGGACCCCAAGGACACAAGCGAAGTCAGCCCTGAGTAGCTGCGTCTTGGGAACTTGCGTGTGTCCCCGAGGAAGGTGGGGAGACTCCAGCACTGGGTGGGAGGCAGGGCCTCAGAGTCGGGACTGTGGACTCCAAGGCTCGGCCTTACTGGAGGGACTGGGGAGCAGCCGCAGATCCAGCCAAAAGGGCGACTGGGACTCCTCAGAATCACACGGGCTGCCTCGCTTTCACTTTGTTTGAGCCGGGAGCTTAGGGCGGTTGATTAGATCGAGCAGGGGAGGCCTGCCCGAGGGCCGAGGATCCCGGGGGCCGGTGCTACTGCCGGCTGAGGCTAGCTCGGGATGGGACGGCTGGATCGGCAGTTGCTAGGCTGGGTCTACACGGGCAGAGTTGGCGGAAGAAGCCAAAGGCCTATGTTCAAGAGTGGAGGCTTGGCTCGAGCACTGAGTTCGCCATTGTTGTGTTTCTAAAAAGGGGGCAGGGGGCTGTCCTGCCGTCCACTCGCCCTCGGCTGGGCAGGGGCTTGGTCGGGTTAGTCAAGCAGATGAGTGAGGGGAGATGCGATGAGGGGCCTCCCCACCCAGCACAGCGGTCGGCCGGGCGGGGAGGCCATGTCCTGGGCTGGTGGAGGCGGGTCGCCCTGCCCTCCCCCACCTGAGGTGACTGAGGTCCCACCGCCCCCAGGCGCATGTTCCCCACCTTCCAAGTGAAGCTCTTCGGCATGGACCCCATGGCCGACTACATGCTTCTCATGGACTTTGTGCCCGTGGACGACAAGCGCTACCGGTGAGCACCCAGCCGGGCCTGGAGGGCGGTGGGTCCCTGCCTGGCCAGGCTGGTGAGGGTGGGTGGCCCAGGACAGTAATGACCGGTGCCCCTCCCCACTCCTGCCAGACCCCAGACCCACACGCCCCACCCCCAGCAGTTCTGGGGAGTGGCCCCCAGGGGGTCATGCAGGCTGGGCCCCCACCGTCTGGCTCCTTGCACACAGCCCCTGCCTTTTCCGTGTCCCCCTCTCCCGAGAGGTGAGCGCCGGCACCCGTCCCTTCCCCCACCCCCCGGGAACGCTGGGCCCCAGAGCTGGCAGGAAAGGTGGGGTGGCCAGGAGAGATTATGCAGGGCGGGCCTGGCCGCCCGGACAATTAACAGCAATTAATAAAGAGAACCTGGTCCGCCCTGCGCCCTAGGCCGCCGGCGTGGCCCAATCTGGGCTCCCGCCGCGCCGGCGACACAGGAGGCCCAGAGCAGCGACCCGCATGCGGCGAAATGTGGCGCCAGGGCCCGGCTTCCTCCCTCTGGTCGCTTCCTGCCGCTTGTGTATCAGGATGGGGAGTTTCTCTTTCCTCACATTGCCCCTGGAAAAGCTCCCCGTTCACCTGTGGGAACCTCATCAGAGGCACCTTCGGGGTTCCCTCGGCAAGGCCCTCACCCCAGCATGCTGTGGCCCCTGCCCCGGCGTCCCAGGTACGCCTTCCACAGCTCATCCTGGCTGGTGGCCGGGAAGGCAGACCCCGCCACACCCGGCCGTGTACACTACCACCCCGACTCACCGGCCAAGGGGGCACAGTGGATGAAGCAAATCGTCTCCTTCGACAAGCTGAAGCTGACTAACAACCTGCTGGACGACAATGGCCATGTGAGTGACCCCCCCAGGCTACCGCCCTGTCCCCCATTAGGCCCTCGGGAGTCCCTGCTGACTGGAGCCAGAGGCAGAGCTTGGGCAGCTTGGGTGTGGATGAGGGACAGGCCGAGGAGAGCTAGCCCTCCGGTCAGGGGCTCGGGGACTGGTGGGTCACACTGCTTCCCTCTCCCCACTCCTTGTGTTTTGCTGGAGGCTTTTTAACTGGAAAGGATGGGGCCGTGTGGGGTGGGGGGTGAGGGCAGCAGCCTTTGGAATCCAGGCGGTGATGCCCCACGGCCCAGCCTCCTTTTGGGAGCTCAGGGTTCTGCCGAGTTGTCTGGAAGCTCACTGCCCGTCCGGACCTTGGCTGGTTTCCTAGCTCGGCCCTCACCACCTTTCTTCCAGATTATTCTCAACTCCATGCACAGATACCAGCCACGCTTCCACGTGGTCTACGTGGACCCGCGCAAAGACAGCGAGAAATACGCCGAGGAGAACTTCAAAACCTTTGTGTTTGAGGAGACACGCTTCACTGCGGTCACTGCCTACCAGAACCACCGGGTGAGGCCCTGGGTGGCTCGGTCAACACTTCTGGGCAGGGGTGCAATTTTCAGTTGCTGCCTGGGGGACAGAAGGTTCCATTCCTGGAAACCCCACTCGATGGAGCCCCACCCCCAGAGCCTCAGGCCGCCCCCTCCCCTCTGCTGCAGGCGGACCAGCCTCCTATCAGGTTGACCTCTCAAGGGGGAACTGTCACTGTGGCCTGAAAGTTTGTTTTCCAAACCATTCCGGAAACTCCCCATCAGGGGCCTGATGCGCGGTTTACCCAGATTCCTAGGGTGCCCCTCCACTCTGGACCACAGCGGGGTGGGGGGGTGGAAGTGACTACATTCCCATCCCAGCCGGGGGAGCAGGGTCTCTATCCTAATCACTTGGGACGGAAAGGACAGGTTACTTAGCGAGAAAGGGGTCTCCCCAGCACCCCTGCACCAGGAGAGAGGCACAACCCCTGCGGGGGAGGGAGCAGTTGTGAGCCAGGCATTTCTGGTCAGCGGAGAGTAGAGCGGCCCTTCCTGAGTGGGGGAGGGCTCTCCTAACGCTCCCCTCCGCTCCACCGAGGTCCGGTGGCCCCAAGAACAGGGGCTGGAGCCGGGTGTTCAGTGCCCGCTTCCCTGCAGATTACCCAGCTCAAGATCGCCAGTAACCCTTTCGCCAAAGGTTTCCGAGACTGCGACCCCGAGGACTGGTGAGTGTCCCCCGAGGAGACGGCGAGCGCGCGGGCGCCTGGCCGGGCGCCCTCTGACACGCCGCCCACCTCCCTCCCGCAGGCCCCGGAACCATCGGCCCGGCGCACTGCCGCTCATGAGCGCCTTTGCGCGCTCGCGGAACCCCGTGGCCTCCCCCACACAGCCCAACGGCGCGGAGAAAGGTAGGGCCGGGGTCGTGGGATCTGGGCAGACGGCAGCGCCCGGCCTCGCCCGCGCCGCAGGGGCGCTCGCGGCCTTCGCGCGCCGGTTGCACAACGGCCGCGGCGGCGGGCAAGCGCGCACTCGCCCGCCCGGCCCGACGGCTGCGCCTGCCCGCCCCGCCCGCCGTCCCAGTGGAGGGCGCGGGCCCCCGGGGAGGGCCCGGGGCTGGGCAGGGGCGCGGAGCGGGGGCAGGCGCGTTCTCGCGGGCCTCTCCGCGACTCAGCCCTCGGCCCTCCCCGCAGACGCGGCCGAGGCCCGGCGAGAATTCGAGCGCGACGCGGGCGGCCCGGCCGTGCTCGGGGACCCGGCGCACCCGCCGCAGCTGCTGGCGCGGGTGCTGAGCCCCGCGCTGCCCGGGTCCGGCGTCCCGCTGCCCGGCGCGCCCGGAGGCCGGCCCAGCCCCCCGCACCCCGAGCTGCGCCTGGAGGCGCCCGGCGCGTCGGAGCCGCTGCACCACCACCCCTACAAGTACCCGGCCACCGCCTACGACCACTACCTCGGGGCCAAAAGCCGGCCAGCGCCCTACCCGCTGCCGGGCCTGCGCGGCCACGGGTTCCACGCGCACGCGCACCCGCACGCGCATCCGCACCACCACCCCGCCGTGAGCCCCGCAGCCGCCGCCGCCGCCGCGGCGGCGGCGGCTGCCGCCAGCATGTACTCATCGGCCGGGGCCGCGCCGCCCGGCTCTTACGACTACTGCCCCAGATAATGTGGGCGTTCGCCTGGGAGTCCGGTCCACCCAGCCCGGGGCCACCGCAGGCCCCCTTCCCGGGCCTCCAAGCCGTGGGGCCTCCGTCCGCCAGCCCCAGAGCTGTCCAAGGACCTGGTTCCCTGGCCCCAGGGCCACCGCGGGTCCCTCCTCGGCCCCGAGGGCCCCGGGTTCGCACAGCCAGTGCCAAAGTGCGCGGTTCGCGCCGGAAGGAAGTGATATTTATTGTTCTCCGCGAGACCGCGACGTCCCCCGGCCCGGCTGGCAGTTGCAGTGTAGACGACCCGAGAACCCGTCTGCAGGCGGTGTAGATACTTGTAGATATTTGTAGATAACTGTAGATACCGCGCCGGCGCCGCCTTGATAAACGGTTTCGCCTCTTTTGGAAGCTGCCTGAGTGTCCATTTCTTTGCGTCCAGTCACATCGCGCGGGGTGTCTCGGGGAGAGCGAGTCCGGGCTGACTCGGGGACTCGGGGTCTCCCTGCAGCCGGGTCCTGGGCGGGGCGGGGGGTCCCTGAGGTACGCTCCGAGCCCCTCCTCCCAGCCCCCTCCCGGCCACGCCTCCCTGCGTCCTCTCCCCGCCCCTCCCAGCCCGGCCAGAGCGCCCCTCCCCCACTGCCACCTTGTGGCCCCAGGTGTGCATCCGGCCTTGTTAAATTCCTCACTTGGCGGTTGTCCCTTTTCTAGGACTTGGGCCCGCACCCCTGGCCTGTTTTCAGGCCGGTGCCTGTCCTGTGTGTTTTTCCACGGAAGCTGGTATAACGGTCTTGGTCGTGCAGGACAGCACACTGTCTGCTGGGGGCTAGGAAGGGGAGAAGCCCTGACTCTTATCGGAAAGACAAAAACAGGTAGTTCTGCTCTTGTAGCATTTCCCTGGCTGGCCCTGGCTCAGGCCTGCGTTTTCCCCTGTTTATTGACTTTATTTGCTGTGAGTGTCCCCACGGAGTGACCTGGACGGGGCCACAATGACAGTGGTCATGAGTCATCTTGAAACCTGCCTGTGAAGCGTTTTTCCCAGGCCAGGTGGTGAGGGACCTATTAGCTCAACAACAGGGATGGGGCCAGAGGAACCCTTTGATCCCTCCCTTCCTGAGTCCAGGCAGGAAGAGCTGACACCCTGTCAAAGTCAAGGCTGCTGACTTGGACACGAGACGGACGGGAAATGCAAGTGGCCGAGGTTTTGTCCCCCTTCTGTGCCTGACCCAGTGTATTTGTGTCGATCGCTGCCAGGAGGCACCACATCTCCAAGGACACAGCCAGGCATTTCCTGATGCCTGCCCTGCGCTGTACTTTTTTCCCAGATGTGTTGGTCCTGGAGGCGGAAGTGACCTAGAGCTTAGCAATTGGACGACAGGAACTGTTCCCTTGAGGCAGGTCTAGGAAGGGAGGTGGTGACCAAGGCTGCTGAAGGGTGAGCTCTGGAGCCAGGGCCCTCCAGAGCCTCATGGGGCACCTGGTGCCCGGGCATGAAGACTTGCAGCACTGCCTGAGTGGCCAGCAGGCTCCGTGGACAGAGCTTCAGGAATGCACTCCTGAGGGCAGCCCTGGACACCACCACTGATGGACACCATTTACTCCCCACTGCACATCTCCCTCTGGGTGACCCAGCTGTGCCACTGGGCTCCCCTGCTTGGGGGCCACCAATGCACCCAGCACCCCCTTGTCCTGGGAGGCCTGCAGGAGTGATGGGCAGTGGTTTGCCCTGTTGAACTAGTCTTCCCTGTGGGCGCCGGCCACCCCTTTGGGACCACTGTGGTTCTCAGGCCTCCCTCTCCCCACTGCACACTTTCACCATCCAGACTGGGGGAAAACCATGGGTGGAGAAATCTCTTTTCTGGTTTTGTTCAAAGCTAAAGTGAGGAGATGCTTCCCCTGAACCAACGCTGGCACCTGGCGTTTGCAGGTGAGAGGACTCAGCGGAGCGTGGCCCCTCCCAAGATCACCACCCACTGGAGAGGGAGAGCCCTGCTGCTGTCTGATGCGGGGCCGTGCACGCTGATGAACGGGACAGAATAAAGGTCAACGTCAGGCTCCCGGCCGGCTGCATTTGAGAGCCTGGGGGCCTGTGGGCTAGACCCTGCAGACGGTCGCCTGCCCTGGGGAACAGCCCCCAGAGGTGGGTTCTCTCTCCGCTGCCCCCACAGGTAAGTTGGCCTGGCTAAGAACTTGTCATACATGGGTCGTGAGCCGGGTGCCCAGCCGGCCACAATGCACTGGTCAGGGTTCTCTATGTCAGACCAGTGTCCAGTCTCCGGTGAAGGGTGCTTGTTTGTTCTCTAGTGGGTGCTGTGCTGCCCATCACCCCCACAGACCGCCATCACCCTGCCTTTCATCCTGGGGGTCAGAGGGAAGGGTTGGCTTGGGGTACCCAGCCTCTGCTGTGGGCTTTGCGTTTCAGAAGGGCGCTCGGGCCTCTCTCAGTCACTGATCCTGACCCAAGTGCTTGGTGAGAGCCCTCAGCTGCAGGCATCCTCCCTGGGACCGTCAGTCGTCTTCCCTCTTCCGGCCCCTCCTCCCACACCCCAAACCTTCTCTGTGTGTGGCTGGGGTCCTGTTCGCCCCTCCTCCTCGGGGGCTCACCCTCAGCTGTTGGATGCCCCCACAGGCATCTTCCTTGTGTTTCCCTGTCGGCCCAGAGGCCGTATTCCACCCCTCTTGCCTGTCCCCAGGTTCTGGCTGCCAGAGCAGCAAGGACGAGAGCTAGGACCAGGAGGGACCTCAGAGCTCTGGTCCAGGGGCTCTGGACTCTTCAATCCCGAAGCTCTTCAAACAACAACAACGTCCACTGTGTGAAAGAGGGAAAGTCGGGAGCAAGTGGAGGAGGGTGGGGCCTTCGGGCCCCACATCAGAGGTCTCAGGAGCCCAAGGACCCTGGGGTGTGGGGTGACAATGCCCAGCAGCAGGCGGCTCCCTGGGCCGGCTGCCGCCTTCCTCCGTCCCACAGCCTGTGTCTGGGACGTAAAGGGCCCAGCTCCCAGGGAGGCTCGGGAACTGCCTGCCCTCCCCATGCCCCTGGCGCAAATGGCTGGCGGTTCTGGAGACTCGCCCGGTGCCAGGCGCCCCGCAAGCCTGGCGGTTGCACCCCTTCACCTGAGTCCCCAGAGCCCCTGCTCTGGAGTCCTGTGACCCCACAGAACCGCCCCCGCTGGTGTAAGGATGCTCAGGGCTGACCCCCTGCACTGCATTGCCAGCTGTGGGACGCAGGTGGTCTGTTCGGTGGTCCTCAGGCCTGAGTTGAGGAGGGAAAGGCCCTGGCGGTTGTGAGGCTGCAGCCCCTTCCCTGGGGCTGGGGAGGTCCAGAGGGTATGTGGGCTATGGATGGGGGTGGGGGAGGGGGAGCGTGACGCACTGCCCTCCAGGTGCTGCTGCAGATCAAAGCCACGTGCAGGCGGCCAGAGGGAGGTGGGGGCCGGGAGCTTCTTCTAGGACCAAAAGGATGATTCCTGTGGAGGCAGGAGTGTGGCCCAGCTGTAGCTGGGTGCAAAGGGGGTGAGCCTGGTTCCACAGGCCCAGGCCTTGGTTTCCCTATTGTGACAGGGGGGCCCCCTCCTCCTCCATGTGGGCCCAGTGAGGCCCTTCGGTTCTGCGGGTTTCCGGGCAGAACCTCCGCACAGGCCTGTCCCCATGTGCCTTCCGCAATATGGAAGCAGCTTCTGCGTCCTGACACAGGCCCAGCTGGGAACAGGCCGGGGACATGGCCCAGCCCTGGGAGGGGACAACGGGGTGTTTACTGGTCTACCTCACACGTTTTCTGTATTTAGAAAAACTCAAATTGTGCCTTTGATTCAATTCCCTTTCCTGCTTGTTGTACTACTTCAAACCAGATGGGTTCACGAGATGAAACTTCGGAATCTCGGCATCTCCACTTAACTGCTGCCAGGTCTGTGTGTGGGAAACAGCAGAACCAAAGGTATTTTGTTGAAAGCAGCCCACTTCGGGAGGAGCTGAGATCTTAATAGCAGCGATTAAATTATCTTCTTAATTATAAAGAGGAACGTTGACATCCCTTATCAGCTCTCGACTGCACGGAGCACACACCTAACCCCCTCCTTCCAGCCCCACCACGGCGCCCCCCTGGGCTGGGGGACAGCTGGGCGCTCCTGCGGCGAAGACCTCCATGCCAGTGATCCAGAGATGCCATCTCGGACATCCAAAGGCTCAGTCTTCCTTGGTGGCGTCAGCAGGAGCCTGCACCTCCGGTGGACGGGGCCGGACCTGAGGAAAGGCTCGTTTTCTCAGCCACGTGTGTGTGTGTCCACAGGGTAGGGCCCGTGCAGCTCTGGGGGCTACCCTCTTGCCCTGAAGACAGCCAGCCCCCCACCCCACCCCCAGGAGACCCCCATCCTCCGCAGCCCCTCCCCCAACACTGGCCCCTCCAGGACAATGCCCCTCCCAGCACTCCTGTCTTCCCAGCCTCCTCCTGGCTCCTCTTGGTTGTCCTAATCTCAGTTCCTCTCCCCTTTTTCCTATCTCAGAGCCCAACCTTTATCCTAGGATGCATTTTCTAGGTTCTTTCCCAGGACCTTTTGTGACCTCATCACCCAATGAAGGTGGTGATGGCAGCCAGGCCAATGGAGGCCTCGTGCAGGGAGAGGACAGCGCTTGGGGTCTCTCCAAGGCCCCGGCTGCACTTGGACCTTCCCCCAGCAGGGGGGGCGTCCCCAAGGGCAGGCAGGTTCTCCATGGCAGGGGCCGCCTGGTAGACTGGGTTGCTACCTGGAACACAAGCCCTTCCCACATGCCTTAGTGCTCTGGGACCCGTGTGCCCGAGGGCCAACGCCCGAGGGCCAACCGGCCGCTGCTTCCTTTGAGGCCAGCAGGTGGGGCTCGGGGCTGCAGGAGCCCCACACAGCCGGGTCGGGCGCGAGGCCACCACCTCCTCTCCTCCAACGTTGTGCTGGGGACTCCAAGCCCCTGGGCGTGGCTGTGAGGCTGAAGCAAAATATGGAAGTAGCCGTGTCTGTGCAAACTGTCACCCTTCTGGTAACAGTGAGTGAAATCTTAAAAGGGGCTAAGAAAAACAGGCAGCTTCCTTAAGACGCAGCTGGCCCGTCTGGAAGCTCTCTGGCCTGGCCCTTCTCCTGGGAGAGCCTGTGAGGTGGGGACTGGGCTGCCGCTGAGCCAGGAGGCGGGCACTCACCCACCCACCACCCCGCGGCCGGTTTATGCCAGCGAGAAGCCTCTGGCCATTTAGGGCAAAGTCACTGTCCACGGGGGTGGCCGAGGAGAGGCCACTCCCCACGCGTGCCTGCTGCTGTATTCCCTGACCAGACAGCGCTACCAGAGAGCTGACCCAGAGCCCCAAGGAGGCGGGTGGCGGCTCTGCTTCCCCTTCTGTGGGCTGGGGTGTCCCAGGCACATTTCACCTCATTGGCTCTGATGATCAA